TGATGTTTCAAGTTGTAATAAATACGGTCAATGTAAAGAGTTATACTTGTCATTTTAATTCATAAAAGAAATTGAAACAGCCATGCGCTCACATGTTATTTTCCCAAAAGGTGCAAAATCTCGGGTACCTGTCCCTATAGTAAAGGCACCTTGTTTACAAATTCAATCCGCCTTTGACCTCATGAATAACAAAGCATTGAACACGTGACTCAAATCTATTCACTTTTCATGCTTTGAGCAGATCAATGCGACATCGTGTCCATTGTTGCGAGCTATCGATGGTCAAATCATTTTCAAATGGGTATAATTAGACTTTAAAGTACTCTGGGATAAAATGTTTATGCCGGTATATTCAGGACATGTTCACATTTTTTCTATTTGTTATTATAACGATGTTTCAGTTGATTTTGTTTGATTTTTTTTTTCGGTATTTATCAATATATATTGGAGGCTTGTAGAATAAATCTTGCACTTACTACTTGTATCTCATTAATATAGAATTTTAAAAAAAATACTGTGGATATATTATTTGTTCCTAAGTATACTTATCACATCAGTGGTACGTTCATCAAACCTTAGAAGATATTAAATATTTTTCTCTCAGTTTTTAGTTAATTTTATAGATCGTTATTTGAAAAAAATACTAATTTATCATATCTTTAGAAAATAAACCATTTGTTACAAAAGCATACTTCCAATTTAAGAAACCTTACGGAAAAGAAATTGAAGTATGAGACGTTAATAAGGCTTATATATCGGGTGAAAAGTCACTGGACGAACGCATTGCACAAAATGCACCCCTTATTGAATAGAGGGAAATTCCGGGTTACTTCTGACGACATGTTATAACTCTTTACATCGGCACAAAATCTAACAACAATTAAATATTAGTAACAAAAAACCGAATGATGAAGGGCGTAATTTTTTTTTTTTTTTTTGAAATGGTTTATTGTTTATCTCAATTAAACAATGCAATCTGGACTGTACAAAGTACACTTGTCTAACACTGATGTTTTTTTATATATCCAGCAACGATAATATTGACGTTAAACTGTCGTTTAATTTTCACTTTCTTGCGATTTTATTTTTTATACACAGAGTGAAGTTTATATATCATATTTGGTGTGATTTCGCAAAATCATATATGTACATGCTATGAAGTAGTTATTCATGTAAATTTAATGAGCTTTAATGTATTAATCATAAGCTTTAATGGATTAATTATCATCTCTATAAAAATGAAGTTTTAAAGTATGAAAAAAGTGTATATATCCTGCATTATACGTTCTATTCACAAATTCGAAATAATTGTGTTTCTTTATGTTTAAATAATTTGACGAATTTCTAATAAATCATTTCAAATATGACTCGTAAGTTAAACAGAAAAAAAAAACGAAGTTAATCCTGACAAATTAAAAAAAAGGTACTTATATTTGGTCGTCTCTAGCACTAAATAAGAGGTTTTAGGTGTCACTTCATCATAAAACTAAGTACAATTCGAACACACTCTAATGTATTCATACAAATCGCACGCTTGATAGACGCCCCGCCTTCTCACTCAAATACTTGTTCTACAATGACCTACATAGCCGTAATGGCGAAGTTTTACAGTGAAATATGCGACTTTATTTAATCGATATCATGTATATACTGAAAGTCTCTTTCCTAAACAATCCTTTATTAATATCTATACAGACTATACTTGAAGACTTCAGCTTTAAGATAACAATTTTCTTATTTAAAAGGGTAAAATTCTGCATGTAAAAAGGGGCGAGATTGCAGTGTTTAGAGGATTCATTCTTTGCAACATGTCAAAAGCGTCAAAAAGTTTAGTCAACTCAAATGCGTAAATGAAAACATAACTTCTCCATCATTCAATCGGTTCGATGTTTAAAATGCATGTTTAATATTACCTCTACAAAAGAACGAAAACAAATCAGGTATCTGAATTAAAGTTAAAACTGGATCCGTTCTTGAATTCTGCCTTTCGCCCAACGCAACGTGGCTGTCAATAACACAGAGCCTCGTTCTGATTTCGAATACTGTAATATTCGCAATACCGAACCCGATCGGAAAAAAATCTAAAGACTACAAGAAAAAACAGCGCCCTACAGACAGTGTTCATAAATGAAATAATTTAAAATAAACACTACCTAAGGATGCTTCCACATATGTTTCAGCTTTTCTGGCCCATTGGCTTTTGAGAAGAAGATTTTCAAAGTTTTTTCCTATATATTTCTATGTAAAACTTGGATTCCCTATTGTGGCCCCGCCCTACCCCCGGGGGTCATGATTTGAACAATTTAGAATCTACACTACCCCAGGATGCTTCTACATAAGTTTCAGCTTTTCTGCGCGGTTTATAAAGCGTAAACTGCCCCAAGTTATGTTATATCGGATAACATAAGTTGAAATAATCTTCATTCCTTAAATAACGGAAAAATCCGTCGTCAATTCAGTGTATAAATAACGGACTAACAATTAGTATGAAAAACGTCAGTCAGCATTTGTATGATATCAATGAATATTTACATTCGCTGTGTTTTTCTACTAAGCCAACTGTGAAATTGATTTGAAAGTCATTTTTGTGTATACTCACGCGTAGAAATATACACGGAGAAACGTGCGTTAACGTGACGTCACAATGAGGCTGCAGCGACGTTAGAAAAAATGCAGCGATATAGGGCAGCGAGAAATTTAGCCTGGTCCCCTGTCTCATCCTTGCCAAGCGCGCTTCATGAAATATGCCTACGTGACAAGTCTGTGTGATTCACACACCAATAACTCACACAAAACTGAAAAACATTCCTTAATTATAAATTGTATTTGCTGACAAGGTCATTATGTAGATCATAGAATTTACGAAAATGATGACTTTAAACGAGAATGTTATTTTGTTTAATCCACTTGCTTGCTAATAATTTACCTCGTTTTAGAAATTGTTCGCACGTTGAGCATGCTCATGCGTATCGAATCAACTGAGATATATACAGTAAAACTCGGTTATAACAAAATCACCAGGATCTCCGAAAGTAGATCACTATATCCGTAATTCGTTATATGCGTATTAGAAATTCCTTAAATTTATATAACTTGGGATCCAAGATATATCCGTGAATTCGAACTAAACGAGTTTTACTGTACACTCCATATGCAGGTGATGAAGTTATATTGCTGCATAAGTAAGGGAGGTTGACGATAGAAAAGTTAAAGCCATCACGTTTATCATATAGCTTGGTTGTTAGATTACTATTAACGTCTTATTCAAGTAAAATATCCAATTATGAAACAGATGTGTCAGACTTTGTGGTGTCTTTTATATCAAGCTCACCAGGATACATATTATCGACGCAGGAATGGAAATTACCATTGTTAATTGACAATACGTCGTCGATATATCTAAATGTCGAGTTGAAGACCACAGCAAGTGTATTTCTTCTTTTCACGCATTAGATTTTGCACAAATTCTGCTTCATATGAATATAGGTCTGCTAATAACGGAGCACAATTGTTACTTACGGGAATTCCAATAGATTGTTGGAATACCTGGTCCCCCAAAACACACACATATTGTCAATAAGAAACTCAAGCATCTCTTTGATGTCAACTTCAGAGTATTTGTGTGCAATCAGAATGTGTTTAAACAAAATAATTCTGCAAATGACCAGTGACAAGGTAAGTGAAATTACGAGTTTCATTTTTATTGAAAAAGCAGCTGTTGGTGATATCAAAAAGCCTAGACTTTAATAGTATTACCGTGGGGAATGGTTGTGGATAAAGTTATAAAAACGTAAGTTTTTAAGCTGTTGATTTTGGTAAAATAAGGAGTGTAAATGTTGTCAGGAGGTCAGTGGGACAGGCTAACTTAGCTATAAAACCGACTTGTTAAATTTGTTCTACTCAATACACACTCTATGGACTGTGAAAGACGACATATCGGTATTAACTATATATATGAACATGTATTAGATTGTAGTGAACATGTAATAGAATATTTAATTTGAACAGTACAAGTCTTATTTGTACGGATAATTTTTTGATAACGTCACGATTTATTTGAGAATAATGTCCGCATCATATTTTTAATCACGGCAATAGCAGTTACTGTAGCGTTGTCATCACATATGCTGTTATGACCTCTTATTATACCCCCTGCTTGAAATGTGTGAGGGTACGTGTAAAGTGATTGGGGTGTTAGCCCGTCTTTCTGTACGTCCGTCCGTCTGTTACGTTTTGTAGTAACCATCTACCCTCAAATACTATCATATCAAACAACATATGTTACATTTCTCAAAATACTAAAAAAATGAACATTTTATGGTGATAAAATTTATCAGATAAATTTAATTATTACCAAAAGCACCAACTATTCAAAATTTGTGGTTTGGGTTCGGAATTATTTTTGTCAAAGTGGGTCAAACTCCAAGGTCGTGATGTCAAATTTGGTGGTAACAAAAGAAAGGTCCTGTCACAAGGAATACACCTGTGGAATTGGAGAGCTATAGCCGTAACCACTCAAAAGTCAATGACAAAGTTGAAGTTTCGCAGACAAAGGACAGACAGGACAATCACTAAGTACTCCCGAATCTTCGGTTACGGGAGCAAAAAAAATGACTTCCTAAAAGTAAGCAATATTCATCAGATTACAGAGTCTATGTTTTTTTTTAAATTCCAAACCACAAAATATCAAGATTTGGATGAAAGTGGTACGGGTAAGTGTAAACATGCCTGGACAAAGGGAATTTAATTAACTGATCAAAGCCAGATATTGAATAAATTAATATACATAAAAAGATATATGAATAAAAATATTAATATCTGCTTTTGATCAATTGAACTATCTTTGACCAGGCAAGTTCACACTTATCCTTTTCATACACATCACAAATATAGGTCACATCAAGTACAGTGACCAGTAGAGTATTTAAATATTGTCAGTTTAACTGCCCCCTTTTCCTGTGTTTATAAAAGATGAGAGGCTAGCAGGGGGTGTTTATACAAGATGTGAGGGGTGTTTGTGTAAAGTCATAAACAAGGAAGTAATATCACAATGAACTTCTACCTGTTCATCAGCGTTCATGGAGCTCAGACGATTCCTGGGTATGTACAATTTAATTTAGAATTAATTAATTCGTTGTTATTCAATGTCATGTCATTAATTTGAATTAAATATTCAAGGCTATTTAAAAGTCTGTAAACTATTACTGGAAAGAGGGCTATTAAGTGGAGGAATAAAATTACTATATTGATATAAACTTGTAAATATCTAAATTTTCATAAATGTACTTCTTTTCTTCAAAATTGAGGATGTCATTAAATACCTCTTAAAAGAAATCGATAAGAATAGTTGTAGATCATTACGCAATCTTGGATCTATAAGTGAACACGAGTTAAAGCCAAGAAAAATGTAAAAGTTGACAGCAAAACCAGAAGTATATCATTCATACATGTTGGATTTAAATCTACGGTCCAGTGTGTTTGTTTATTGTTAGGACACATCTTCCGGTTTTGACTTCCTGTCACCTCTCACCACTCAGTCATACTGACCACTTGTTTATATCTCGATTTAAAATTATCTCTAACACTTTGAAAGTTAAATTTAAAAATATCAATGTTGGCATGATATATTGAATAAATATATGAGATTTCATATTAATTCATACATTTAATGTGTCATGAATTTCGATTCCCTCATCAGATGAAAAGATAATCAATATCAGGATTCTACTTTTAACTCCGTCGTTCCAGATCCTACCTCAAATGTTTTAGAGGTCAGGTGTTTGTTCTTGTCCCAAATCGCATTGAAATTAAACTTTAAATAAGTTTCATTAACTTCTATCATCCATGGGGTTTTAATTTAATTTAAAATTTTTAATAATTTCCTTTCTCTCGAGTCCTAGAGCTCTCCATTCAAGAGAGGATTTCAAACAATTTCCTTCTCGGTTATGCCCCTATTGCATACAAATGTACCTCTGGGATATCATGTTAAGGGAAGTACAGCTGTATATATCTTAAAGCTTCAATAATGCTTCATTTCCTTCGGGGAAATTGCGGTCTATTAAAGAAAAGAAATCCAAGATGAAATGCAATGAAATTTAAACTTTGATTTTTCCATAAATATTAATTACTTAGCTTGGAGAGGGCTTATATAGGCTATGCCTGCTGCCCAATCCATTTATGTATTTTACATAATAAAATATGTTCAAATCAAATCAAATCTATTACTTAGCTATTGATCATGTAAACATTGTCGTTTTTTATTTTGTATCTGTCAAAATTTTTTTTCTATACATTTTTAAAATTTTATTTGCATATCAGTGATCAATAGATTTACTTTAATATATTTATTTAATTTCAGTATTATTTTTCATCTTTTGGACGAAGGTGTTAAATATCTACTGCCTTAATGGGTGAGAGATTATTTTCAATACGTTAAAAAGAATGCTAGAGGAAAATTTATTGTTCTAACAATATATATTAACAAAGGAAGTTGTTTTTATTTATCCTTTAAGCAGTTTTAAGCTTAGTGTCTGTGTTTAACTTTCACAACACAAACTAATTCTCCCATTCATCATAATAGAAAACAAAAATCTATTCTTTTGAGATTAATGATTAACTATAGGTTAAGTCCTGTTTATATTTAGTATTCTCTATTTACAGAAGTGTTTGCATTGATACAGCTTTGAAGTTTGGGTTCAGCAGTCTTGCTTGTAATTTTACTGAGGATGATTTGAAGTTTTGGTTTGCAGGTAAATAAATGTAGCAGTAACTACTCAAGAACATTCTTCAAACAGGAACAATTGTTTTGATGCGAAGAATTTGGTTTCAATGTTGTAAAAAGTATATCTGAATTATGTAAACTCAGATGTAGATTTATATTCTTTATTGATCGAAAACAAAAAATCTTTCAATGAGGCCTTATAATAATATGAATTTATTTTCATAATTTATAAACCTTACAAAATTAAACATAAAACTTTTAATTTGAAGCACTAGTCAAGATTTGAAAGTTGAAACTATAAATAGCTTTTATTAATTGCCAGTTATTTATTAATCATATTTCTTTTGCACACTTAAAATGTAATTTGTTATGTCCAAGAATAAATTTGTCACGTTAATATTCAGCAATTCAATACATAAGAATTATATTTAGAGGTAAGTTATTGGTGTAGTACTATAAGAAATATCTTTAAAAAGTACTTATGTTCTGAGTCCTGTTAATTTTAGATCCGCCAAATGGGTTTCCTTGTGAGGAGCAGTGTTTATGGTCGGTTAATACAGTTCCAAATACCTTATATAAACTGAAAAGGGGAAGATTCCTTGTCAACAATACCGTAAGGAGAGTACTAAATGTCAACAACAGATGTCAGAATGAATATACAGCGATTGATATAAACGTGAGCTGCAGTACGGATAAGTTTGGAGGTAGTACACGAACATTTCTTCCATTTGCATATTTATTTCAGGACTTTCCGTACGTGCTGGTTGGCTGTTTTATAAGTTTCCCATATAGTTAATTTCAAAGACTTTAAACGTTTTAATAAACTTTCATTTTAAAGCACACAAACAGAAATATATCTTTAAAAAATAATATCCATGCAGACTACTTTGGACTTTTGTGTACAGAAGACACAGATTGCGGGAGAGCCAATACATTATGCATTAAGCATGGGAAAGTTGGATCGTGCGAATGTAGGGATGGATTTGTTCGGTTGCATGGAGAATGTATGGCAGGTAGATATCTTTAAATTTTTTAATTTGTTTAATTTAAACTTTTAATATTTATCATTTTTCTCGTTGCATATCCCATTATGTGATATAATAGCTGCAGAAAAAATTAAATTGGTGGAAGGAACAAATACTGGAATGATAGTCGGAGTGGGAATTGGATGCTTTGTATTTGGTTTCGTAGTCAGTCTTGGTATTATTGTTATTTGTAAACAGAGAAAAAACTCACCCGAACACAAGTAAGACTTGAATTTTTTTCAATCTATCAATGAATGCATTGCTAGGTACAGCATTAAGTGGCAGTGACTTTCCTATCTATATGCTTAAAGGGAAGGTACATATGTACTTATATCTTTCAGAGATTTCAAAAATGCTGTTGATAATCGATCATACGAGAAACATATTGAAATCACATCATCAATGCAGACCCCCTATGCGGTATTTATCATTTTATTAATACTGTCCTTCACGATATTAGAAAAGTGAATAATATAATAAAGGTTTGCTAGAATTAAAAAAACTAACCTAATCTAACAAAATAAGACATGCAATTGAAAACAGAGCATTTACATGTATACTTGTAATTTAGTATTAAATTTGTAAACTATGTACGGGTAAATTTTCGCCCCCGTTTTATTTTCGCTCCTTTCACCCGGCTCACAGGTGGGCGAATTTAAAACTGTGCAAATTCATATAAGACATAATATTTTCTTGAACAGAACTCTTGTAATTTATAATTAATACGGGTCAAAATTGTTTGCAAGTGTAAAAGGGCGAAAAAAAACCTGTATACTGTAATTGATATCGAAAGCTTTATGATTTGCTTACTGTGGTTTCTGTTCGGCTTTTTAGAACTAAATTATTCAACAATAAATTTATTTATTGAGAAAAAAGATACATCTTACCTGGCTGACCCTACACACTATAAATAACTTTGAGTCCTTCAAAGAATTGTTTTCTTTACAACGGAACGTTTGACATTGAAGGCTCGCAATTGGAATATTTTGCATTCTCGTATATTTATTAGCAATGTCTTCTAAATGTTTATAGGTAAGATCATCGGATGCAGTTTATTTTTGCTAATTTTGTACAAATCAAACAAAACACATTTATAGAGATGATTAAGTCCTTCTATTAAAATTACGGTATAAATGTGAACCATTTAATAAAACAAGAAGGCGATCAGATTCACAATCTTTGCTTATCAGTTACGTAAAATATGATAATATCAGATCCCCCAAATGACCAGAAAAAAGTTTCTGACTGTAAAACAAGACAATCTAAACATCATACGAAAAAGTTATCAAACAGATTACACATCAAAACAAAAATGGTAAACATCGTGTGAAAGGGTTTGCAAAAAGATAGTACATCAAAAAGACAATGAAAACCTCAGAGAAAAGGTTAACTTAGCAAAAAAAGATAGTAATCAAAACAAACTGGTTAAACAGTAAAACAAATTGAATCAGAACTAATAATATATATAATTTTATATCACAAATTGATATTTTTGTAAAATGTGAAAATTCTTAGATCCACGCCTTGGTTGATGGATTACGTGTGATAGAAGGTGTAAGGTCACGTGGTCAGCTCAGCGAGTCATTCAGTTGTATTGTGATAACCCGCATGCTGACCACGCTAAGATAAGGCACGTCTATTTTGAAGACCCTCCTCCACCCCTGCATTCCTACCCCTTAAAACGAGTATTAATGTGTCATGTAAAATCATATATTTCATTAGTTCTGACTCGATTTGTTTATACTGTTTTTATGTATTGTTTCACTACTATCCTTGACCAATTTTGTTTTGATGTGCAATCTTTTTGCTAACTTTTTCATATGATGTTTTGATTGTCTTGTCTTACAGATACTTTTTTCTAGTCAGTTTTGGGGGATCAGACATTATCATATTTTACGTAACTGCTAATCAAAGCTTGTGAATCTGATCCCCTTCTTGTTTGTTAAATTGTTCACATTTATACCGTCATGACATTATTCATCTCTATGAAAGTGTTTTATTTGACTTATATAACATTAGCAAAAACAAGCTGCGGTGAGCTTGCCTATAAGCATAAGAATGCGTAAATAAGATTTTATATGCACTGTATTTGCATAAGATAATACAAGAGACACATATAAAGGATGAGGCTGGTTAAGACAGGGGATGCTTTATCCTCTTTGGAACCGATCCTACCGCTGATATTTATAGGGGTCCGTGTTTGCCCTGCTCTCAATCATGTATTATTCTAATGACATTTTGAGCTTGTCTATTGCCCTCTATCTTCATATTTTATATCACAATGATATTGAATTAATGCCTTTGCAAGTTATGACAAAGTTCATTTTTGTTTTCTAAAGAAAAAAGCATCTCACCTGCCATCATCCATCAAAGATGCTACTTATTCCAACATGAAAAGTGATTCCTTGGAGGCAAAAGACGACATCTATAATCATCTCAACGAAAAGGGAAAGGCTACAGTTGATCTAGATGACTATGACCATGCCAATCAAGTCATGGAACAAATGGAACTGGATGAAAATTACAGTCACCTTGCACATGAAAATGGATCTTTAGAAAACATTGACCATTATTTCTCTTTGGAGAAACATTTATCTTGAAAATCATGGTATGTGTATATGTAAAACCATGCAAGTGTATGCATCAATACATTTGTGCTTTATGAAATAAAGCCGATAAAAAAGGCTATTCGATCTACTTACATTTTGACCAGTATTGTAGCAAAAGCCATGACATCTCTCATCCACAGGCATTACTGGATACGTAAGTATTTACATGTATAGCGTTAATAAAAAAATAAATAAATGGGAATCTCATAAAATGTAGACAAACAAGAACATTAGTAAACGTGTCCGACCCGTATCTTTCAAATGGTGGAATATTAAAACTGTCCGAACAATCTTGAAACTGCATGCAACTTTCAGGGGACAAAAATTTCCCTGTATATACAGTAATGTCTGGGTATCCTCAACATATATAAAGTCCATCAGAGATATATGTCACAACATAAAACAACTGCAAGCTATTAGCAAATAAGTTGCATAAAAAAGGTATTTAAAGTCTCCTTTCAGAACATCCTTTCACAAAGTCTATGAAAGAAACAATGGTCTAATCTATCGTTAAGTCATAATTATATTGACTGACGTTTTACTGATTAATAAGGGATTGCCTTCTGATTATTTCAGTCACGGATTTTCTCGTATGGCCAATCACAAACAAAAAGCTTCTCACCCGATCCATATGCCGACTTAACAGAGGTCCGAATTTCCCCTGCCTCCAATTTGAATTGATTCAATGGTCTACGGTGTATATGTAATATGTCTTTCATTAAAAAAAATTCCGTCGCATGTGAACTTTTAGTTAACCCATTTGAAAAGCTTTATTGATTAGGTTGACATGAAGTAGCGTATAATTGATACATGCATTCAATATAATTTATTATAAGCATTAGTATTTCTGAAACATGACAGACATCCATTTTGAAGGATCTGTAGATTTTTTTCTCTAAAAAAGGAAATATTTCGCTGTTCAAAAGAAAACTCTAATATCTCTGCTTGTATCACGACTTTTACATGATTTATAATCGTTACTGTTATTGTCTGTTGGACGTTCAATATCTCTACATCATGTAAAAAAACCCGCTAAGCTTCAATCCTTCAGTGGTGTATTGAGGAAGGCCTAGGGAGTTTTCATTTGTTAATAAAATGCTTACAAATTCATTTTAAAGGACAGCATAAAAGGAAGGAAATAAACCTGTTGTAAGTTATATATATATTTTTTTTTAATTTCTATAATTAAAAAAAAAGAATCAATTCTAATAAATTCTGAATTATTTAATAATAAAATTGTTTGTACAAACAATATAAATTGAGCACCATTCTTTTAGCAGAAAAAATATCTCTTGTTTTCGTATGGTATATCCTCCTCTATTATAAAAATATATATTTAAAAACTGCACAAAATTAAATTAATTTTTTTCACATGTGCTTACTTGTATTAAGATTGTTTTCATTTTCAGGAATGTATAGATTTCACTGGAATAAAGAAATTGAGTACCCTTTGTTCATAATTTGTGGAGGAAGTAATGGATATCCACTCAGAAAATATCTTTGCAACGCCAATATGTCTGTTAACAGGTTGCCTTATTGTATGCTTCAATGCATTTGTTTTCATGATCTTTATTAAAATACGGGCCCTTCGAAAAAATCTGTACCATTTTCTAGTCCTTTTACTGTCCCTTTGTGATTTTGTTGTTGGCCTTGGATATTTTGCGCAAATCATCGAAACTAATATTTCTCCCGGGGATGAATTTTTCAAAACGGTCTGCCTAATGAAGTTCAGTTTCCTTCTAAGTGGTACTTTCTTGTCTGTATTTCAAACATTTTTGATTAGCTTACAAAGATATTTAGTTATTTGCCATACTAGCTGCCTGGAATGATCGCTTGTTCCAAAACTCAAGAAAATACATTGTTTGTTTTTTTAGTTGGCTGATAATATTAATTTTCACGGTTGGGCTAATATCTCCTCCAGTGGAGCCATTTTATAATTGCCAAGTTCGAAATGTGTACAAGAGAGATTACCAAATTGTTATTCATTTTATGCAATTCACCGTGACTTTATACTTGTTGCAACCGTCGGATTATATTGTGCATCAAAATAAACAAAAATATAGTTCCTGAAATCGTACACAAAAATTCTGAAAACGCGGGTCCTAATGGCTCAGCAAGCACTTTGCGGGAAAATAAGAACAAGTGTCTGGAAAATGAAGGCAAAAAAGTTAAAGAAAAGAGAGGAAACGTCCAAGATGTGAAAGTTAACCCCAAAAACAAAATGCCTGCAAATAGCAGGGAGCACATCCATGGAACCAAGTTTGACAGTCATTCCAAACATGAGCCGATTATATTCGGGTTCCAGAAAGTGGTTATACCCTGAAAAAGAAGAACCTTCTGAACACTATAATTGTTCTGCTTGGAATGCTCCTGTGTTGTTTGATATTGTTATCGGGGCCACTAGTTGTGTCTCTCTTCTTTTTCAAGGACGTATCCGACCTATACCTTTTTATTTCAGCCTGTCTCTGTGGAATTAACTCCGTCATTAAGCCCGTACTGTATTGTTTAAAAATTGAAATTGTGCGTTCTTCTGTAAAGGATTTCCTGTGTCGATGTACATGAATGGTATTATCGTGCGTTATTAAAAAAGCAATCTTTAAGGACGATAATGAACATCCCTTACAAAACTTGTTACAGTCTGTAAAATTTGTTTAAAGTGTAAATCGATATTATTTTTTTTTATTTTGATTTGCATATCTTTTAATTGTGTGAATATTTTAAATACGAGTACATGTATACTACTGTGTTGTTTGTTCTAGAAAGATGCGACTAGTTTGAATTGAACTGCTATGCTGCAGTAATCAAAATAATCATGCAATCGATAAATTACTTTATTACGCATTTAACCATAGACCTAGGTCTTACATGTTACATGTGACGCACGTACCAGAGCTATATTTACTGGTATTAGTGCTTCCCCAGCTTGTATAAAACCGAAAGTAGGAAATTCAGGTCAACATCGAGTATAAGAATTCGTTTTGCTATGATGTTCAGCGATATCGTTAACGAAGTTTTCGCTACAATTCAACATGTTATTGATCATAATACAATACCCAGTGAACTACAATTGAAAACATTCAACAATTTCGTTGTCCAGAAGGTCGAAACAGAAATGCGTTTGTTGAAAATTAATGTAAATTGTGTTCAAGTCTGGGAGAAATTTGACAGATTAGGACGAGAAAAAAACCCTGCATGGAAGATAAGTTATTTCTTGCCTGTTTACACCGGAAGTTATTCCGAGGGAATGCCGAACTCTAGCGACATGGACAGACTATTAATAGCAAAATGGATAAACATTCAGGAAGAGGGAACGAATAGTCCCGTAACACACGATAACCGAGAGAGTGATGTCATGAATTTCTTTTACACAACAGAGGACTGTCACTTGGGATATATAAAAATCATAATTCCTAAAATAAGCACTCATATTTTTAATGACTCTCAAATAAGAAGGTATAAAAGAGTGTCCTATTTACGTAGCAATTGCTTTGTCCAAGACATGAAAACATGGATCGGTGCCGCACCACTTTCGGAGCTCCACGGACCTTCGCTTACGTACAGCGGTTATGAAGGTTTCTCCTACGATGAAGTATACGGTATAAGGTTATCAGAGTGGCCATCTCTGGCGAAAGGCAATCTGGACAGGTGCAAACAGAAAACTCAAATTGATTTACAGAACTCTGATGTATACGCCGTTCCAGTTGGATATGCCCTAAGTATAACAAATGACATTGAATGGAGGTTATCGTTTACAATGGCAGAAAAAGCCTTAATGAAAACATGGTCTAACACTCATTTAAATTGCTATTATTTATTGAAACAACTGAAAATGATACATCTTGCTAACCCTGATTGCCTCAAGTCCTATTATATTAAGACTGTAATGTTCTGGATGACAGAGACTCTACCCGAAACATACTGGTGCCCAGAAAACCTTCTAAAGGTATTTGTCAAATCGCTGCGTATCCTTCAATGGTTCCTTTCTCAACATTGGTTACCAAATTATTTTATTCCAGAGAATAACATGATTGACCACAAATCAACAGAGGAATGCCGGGACGTGTCCGATAAGATATCCTCACTGTTTACAGGCAGAATGGATGTCATCATTGCAGAACTTATATGCGAGGATCAGATAGAGGATATTTACGATTTTGTAGGCTTTAAAAGAAGTATTCTACCACCTCGTACTACTAAAATTTGTCTACTTACTGAGAAATATTTACAGACTTTAAATGCCGAAATCTCGGGAAATTTGTTAGATGAGGCAGACATATTAAGTTCTTTGACTACATGTACAATACAGAATTTGAGTCAATGTAGAGCAATGGAGGAAATCATAGAAGACTTGCCACATTCGTTAACAAATGACGTTTCAGGGTCATTTGCAGTAAATCTACGTCGACTTGTGGCAGATTTTTATCACTCTCAGAAGACGAGGCAGTCACACGAAAAAGCAGAGAAACTGTACAAAGAAAGTCTCTCACTCAGATATCCCAGTGGGTTTGATGACAAATTAATCTCTGGGGTAGCTCATCTCGCTTTATTCTATTATCTATATGGCAACTTTACTGCTGCGCTGGACTCAATAGAATCAACTTTAGAAACCATCAAGCAAAGCATCAGATCGGACACGACGTGTGGTTTCCTTCATATAGCCATACCTTACTGCACAGATCGAGTGTGGAGGGATAAAATTTTATATGTCATCCTGCAGTCGCAGTCTTTCTGTTATCCGTTGTACATTAATGTGATTTCACTCATTCTTTATGTCGCAATAAGATCTCTTCTACTCGTGTTTGAGCCACGCTCCAAAGAAAGGGAACTCTTACAGTTGACTGAATTACTTGTCCAATGTGGACTTCAGAATTTGAACCCCTGTTTATTAGACACCTACGATTACCTGATATGTGAAGTCAGGGAACTCTTGCTCTCTTTCTCCATCCCTACACATACTTTATCTACGTATGTGATGCCGGAAATTACTACAAGAACAGAGAGGCTGAAAAATTACCACAACTGGAATGAAAATGAACCGAAGTCCACACCAATTTAATTTCTAGTTCGTCGGACATCTGATGAAAAATTTGGGGGCGAACGATCAATTAAACAATATTTACATTTTTGTAGACAATGTATTTTGGCAGAACATGAAAAAAGTGAGCGGACAATTATATTTGTTGTACTTTTTTTACTCACTGCTTTTCAATTTAAACAAATTAAAAATTTGCGAAGACTTTTTTGGGTGCGGGAGATTTAAATTAATATTACGTGTATTTATATGTTTTTGTTAAATACAATCGAATGGGGTCAGATGAGCAAAAAATACATGAATAGGTATGGCCTAAATAAAACTGGAACGTACCTTTTAGAAAATTGTCAAGGAAAAAACACATAGAACAGAATATGTTGATCTATTATATATTTAGCAATACATGAAAATGTGTCATTAATGGTCATTGTTGTTTATTTGTAAATGGCAGTTCTTGATAAAGGTATCTTGACTATAATGTGATGTGTTGTTTGTTTTTTTCTGCATTATTAAACGTCAAACAATTATAACATGGCGAAACAAAGAAAAACATTTGCCGAACAAAATCAAACGTTTGATTATCTATTCAAAACAAGAATTTGGTTATTTTCTGGTTATCAACTTTAAAAACAAACGATCTTGCAAAAACGTGCATACAGTTGTATGAGTACAGGGGTTCATAATGAAAGACAGAGAGAAACTGCTGACTTTAGCTATAAATCGTACATGTATCTACGCCTTCATTTTCTTGGAATTATTTGATGTGATCACGTTGAACCCGCAGCCGACGAGGAATTTCGAATCAATCACGTGACTCAACTCATTTACTTCCTCTTCCGCCTTGGATATGTCTGTTGGTCTAGGCATGCAAAGCACGAGGAGAAGAAATATTGACAAACCGGTGGCTAAGTAATGTAATGATTCGTCAGATCTACAGCGCAGGCAAAAGTCGGAACTTTCCATGTCAAACACATTGTTATCCACATGAATACAAAAATGTTCCTCCTCTGACTTAGGCACTCGGACATCAATATACTGAGTAGATTTGTCCTCTAACTTGTGGAATTTCACAGAAAGATACCCTGAAAGTTAACAAAAACCTTATTTGTCAATCAAATTGTAAATTTTGGTTACCAGTATTTTAATTTTGATTTAATGCTTTTACTTTTGCATGAAATATATTTTTTATGTTCCGTTCCGTGATCATAAAAATATTTAACATTTCATTCTTCCTAATTTTCAAATAATACTATATTCAGACAAGAATATCTATCGTTGGTTGCAGCAGTGGCATATCTATTTTTGTTTATATGTTAAAATGGGCACATTGTCATTTGGAAATTCAACACTTCAATAAAACATTAACTACCTTCTTTCATGTATTGTGAACTGGTCCATCGTCCTGTCAGCACAGCCCAGTCTCCGGAAGTCTGTCTGATCAGCACAGCCCGCTCACCGAGACGCGGATCTAACGTGGAGTACCAGTTAGGATTGGTGACCTGTGTATCCAAGTAGAAAGTCAGGCTATTCTAGTCGTTTAGTTTTAAGAGCTTTGTATAATTAGTAAAAAAAAAAAAATAAAACGTACCTGAAATGAGAGCGGTAAATGGCTCGAGTCCACTGTCTTTGCTGAGCAGACAATTTTTGCGTTCTGTATGAATTGTATATCAGCTTCAGATCGATGAGGGCTGTACACGAATCTACATTCAACATCGCCAACATTGCTCTCATTTATAAATCTAGTAAATAACAAAACAATTAGATGTAACATCGTTTCATTCAGGTAAAAGTTTTAAACATAAACATAGTATTAGATGTATTTTCAATACAGTAAAACAAAAAAACGGTTTTAAACTTTTCACTGCACAGAGCTTTCTTAAAATTAAATCCTTATGTCTTACCTGTGTTGGGCGACATAGCCAGCCCCACACTCATTAGACTCTAGTTTTGTTGGTTCTATCGGAAACACTCTGTCT